CTTTCCTTTTCCGGCAGCCGGAAAAACAATGCAGAAATGCAACAATATTTTTGAAGGATTCATGTTTGAAACTATTAAACGTGAAAAATAGCAATATCTTGACCGACGAGAAAAAGTCTAAGGAGGTCAAATGACACCGATCTTGATGGCCAGTTCACATCACATCAACGTGAAATGATCATACCCTCCAATCTCTCGAAAATTAGGGTCAGGTTTTTCTTCCAGTTTGTGTATGAAATCTCTTCTTTGCACGATTTACGTATTTTTGTGAAGAGTTCAAATTGAAATTAATTGTTTTTTTCCTTTCTTTGGAAGATTCTCAATTTTTTTTGGATAAAGATAGAAAAGTAGAAATCCAAAATCTTTCTTTCCCAAAAATTAATCTCTCCTAAAATATACCCCTTTCAATTAATATTTTACTTTCTTTTGAGTAACTATACCTGCTGGTTTTATCATCCAGGTTCAAATCGTTGATTCGGTATATTCCATGTCCACTACATATCTTCAAACCTTTGGAACAATTTTGTTTTCATATATATTGCAGAAACTAAGATAATGAAAAATATTTAATAACAGAAATTTGCTACAACACACTCAATATCCATTTTTTCATTTGGATTATTAAAATAACATTGATATAAAAGTACTAATAGTTCAATGTAGTCTAAAACGCTCTCGAGACAATTGATAAAAAAAGCAGTTTTGATATGTAATGGAGTTAGCCGATTCTTGATGAGAATCCAAATAGTATATTACCCACGAGCGAAAAATTGTAAGCACGGGGCGTGAGCCTAGTGCGATAATTCGCGTAATTGACCTTATCCTCGAGGTGCGTACTATACTTTTTCTATGACTGACCGTAAAAAGAAATGGAAAAATATATTTGTTTGAGATTATAGCTTTGGATAATAAACTGATTCATTCAGTCAGTCAGAACACAATTAAATGATTTAAAAATTTCATCATCATTTTTGTTATAATTATGTACATTTATTACAATTACATTACATTACATTATTACAATTATTTGATGATATTTCACCGTCGATGTGGGAGGAAGACGGTGTATTCCCACTGTTTTGAAACAGTGGGAATACAAATGTTTTCAATACTATTTATGAGTGCATTTGATGTGTTTCTCATGGATGCCAAAGAATGATCTACATAACTTTCGAACACGGTCTGACATTCCAGCCACCATGGAGCTTTATGTCACTCCCTCCATCAACTAGGATGGTTGCAGATGATCTTCTGAAGCAGTGTCCAGTATATGTTTCTAAATTTTCGAAATGAAGAAATTTGGCAATAATTTTTGGTTGGTCACCCAAAAAAAATTGTCATGTATCAACATTTTTTGGTCTCAAGTTTATGTACTTTTTACAAATATTATAGAAATTGAAACACAATATTATGACCTTTCGGTTTTAGATTTTGTGTCCGGCACTTTGATGTATAGTTTTCTTGGCCAATAACTTTAATATGATCTGTTTGCATATCTTTCAGTTCTTTTACGGCATGCTCCAGAAATAGCAATAATCATTGCAACCTAGAAATATATTGAAATTGTGTTGCTTGATTGTGATATGACTACTTAACATAATTTCCACTTTTTGTGTGAATGAATAAATTTGAAGAGTTTTAAATAATATGATAATATCAAATATAATTGCGAACAGGTATTTTTTGGTCTGTAAAATATTTTAAATATTTTCAAATCCTTTTGCTTGGCTGTTATAGGAATTAACGGAAGTAGGCTTTGCTTTAGAGGCGTCTGCCAAATATAATTGGCTATTGGCTGAGGAGGTTGAATAATTCAGTTTCAACCTTTATGTTGTGTTAGTATTTCAAAAATTATTGCAAAAATTTCATAAAAAATCGATAGAAGGAAAAAGTGAGGTTGTGATACCTTCGAAAACAAATATTTGCCATCTGGAGCTTCCTTAATGAATTGTTATATTAGTTAACTGGTGAGCGTCGACGATTTCTTAGGTTTATAACCATCAGTTTTGGTTTTTAGAGAGGCACGTAATTTGAAATATTTGCTGATGTTCACATTTTTCTTGATATTCAGGGTACTTACCAGCATTGAGTAAATTGCCCATAATGACGATGGTTTCAAAGTTTCTGCTAAATCTTCGAAATAAACGAGAACTTTTTCGGAAAAAAATGTTATGTTTTTCTTCTTTCTTCAACTCATGAAATTTTCGAAATTATATTCGTATTTTTCTCTTGATTTTGCTGGCAGCAAATTATTCATCGCAATATTTGCTTGTTAGATAATATCTGGTGGGGTAGCAAAAATTTGTTGATCGTTATCACTCATTTTGAATTTTTACTAGATACTGAATTATGATTGAAACAAATGGTTGTTTATACACGGATATAACTAGAATCATTACCAACCCACAAACTGTTGAATAATAAATTTATTGAAAATATGATTTTGGCTTTTGGGCAATTGAATGTATTCATGAGATCATATTTATCAGAGTGAATGTTACATTTCTCATCATTTTTAAAGATTTCTTACAGTAGTGTCTGTCCTCCATTAATTTAGAATACACGTACGTGTATTGTAAAATCGCAACTTGTTTCACTATACACTATACAATAGCGTACTCAGGCGTGGTATAGAATATACTTTCTCTAATTTTATCATTACATGTATGTGTTCTAGTACGAAATATTAATGTGGTTCGTCGGAGTATCATTATTTACACAACCTCTCGTCATCGACTGATTTTTATTTGGCGGTAATCACGTTTTGAAAATATCTGTTTAAAATCTCAGAAGTTGAAATTGACGATTGAAGAAGTACCACTTTTCAACGTGCTACATAAAATGTCTCGATTATTCTGAAGAATCAAAAATTCACACATATACAAGATGCTGCATTCAAAATGAGAAATTTGGTATTGGTCAATATTATCTGTGCAAATGTGTTGTGATGAAAACTATTTTGTGTAGATACCGAGAATACTGAATATTTTCCTTAAGGTACCAACGACATTCCTTTCTGTGTGAAAAATGCACTCACCTGACATCATGCGGCATTGGCAGAGTGGCTCCTCTATCCAGCAGAATCTTTATGATCTCGTAGTTGTCTCGATGCGCTGAGAGTATGAGAGGTGTGATATCCGGGGTGAATGTGGCTGTATCCGGCGGTAGGGCTTCCCAGCTCTGAAAAATGAATGAAAGAAGTAAAAGCTACTCATTTGCATACATTTACAGTATGGTTCAAGAATCTTTATTCAAGCATCATCAATTTGTTCATCCGAAATAATTCGACAAAGTAGTGGAAACGAAACCAAATGGTTAGTGCTCTGAAAATCCAAACTTTTTGTGTAGCTATACTCTGTTTTCTGATAGCTGGTATGAGTAAGTTTATAATACTTCACAGGGATAATCTAATTTTTGTATCGCAAACAAAAGATTTTATGAGCGTTCGGTCATTTTCTACTTGAAGTAACGTGCGTTTGGGTATTCAGTTGAAAAGATCTGATGAATATGTTTGTTTATTACATACAATCGATATTGTCATAACATTTTGATTTAAAATATCCACCTATGACATGAGCGTAGCGAGGCACAAGTAGGGAGAAGCAACAGCCCCCCTTAGAAGAGCGGTCGTTTGCTGGTAAACTGTATTTCTGGCGAGCTTCAAAGGTTGCGACGCTCCTCATAAGACCTAAGAAACTAATAGGCTTGAATGCTGACTTGTATAATCTATCAATATAACTTTTTATCTAACATACTGATGATAATTGGGAAAAATTGAAAATTAAAGTTGAAACCCACATTAATTTATTGAAACACTGGTTTGATCATAAGTCACTCAAAATCAATTTTAAAAAAACAAAATGTTTACCCTTTGCAAGCTACGACAATCAACTACTCAACTATAATGAATTAATAATAAACAAACACGGAAAAAAATAGAAGTCCTAAGAACAGACCATATTAAATACCTGGGAGTCACAATTGATTCACATCCCAGATGGAATGAATATTTTATAGAAATAACTAAATCATTGAGATGTTTATTGTATAAATTCAAGTACTTGAGATCCGTTCTCGATATCAATCACCTCAAAATAACATACTACGCATTGGTACAATCTAGACTCCAATATGCCATACTCAGTAGTGGTGGCATATTAGACATCCACCTGAAAGAAGCTGAGGTATTACAGAAAAAAATAATCAAAATTTTATACAATAGAAAGAATGACTACTCCTGTAATTATATCTTTAGAGATTCAAAGCTACTTGATGTACGACAGTTATATATGTATAATATAATATTGTATATCTTCAAAAATAAAACATCTCTTCAGCAAATCGGTTTAGTTTCGTATGCTAAAAAAGCGTGTTTTTCAGTCTTTTTAAACTATATTTATTTTATCCAAACTTTGGGATCAATCAGCCGTATATTTTCTAGAAAAATGACCATTGAGATTTTCCGATTCCGGAGAGGGAGCCTGAAAATCAGCTACCAAGTCCAAGGCAGCAGGCGCGCAAAGGAGGGTTACAAATAAGGTAACAGGGGCGCGTGTTAATAAAAAAAAATACTTTTTTCAAATGAAGTAATAGATGTGAAGTGAGTTCGAATTATATCAAGGAGGTTACGTACAGCGCCATCTGCCCGCGAAAGTTCAAGCAATATTGTCGATATATCAAGGTTACATACAGCCCCATCTGCCCATGAATAAATCAAGCAATAATGTCGATATATCAAGGAGGTTATGTACAGCGCCACCTGCCCGCGAATAGATCAAGCAATAATGTCGACAATTCTGTCAAATACAGATCCCGAGCTTGAGAGTTACAAACAAACATACATACAGGTATAGCTGATATAAAGCGTATAAATTGTTCAGTGAAAACTCAAAAGTACTTTAAAAAAGTGATAAAGAACCCTAACTAAATTAGACATAGAAGCTGAGCGGATTATTTCGAAGGCAACTGATAAGCCAATATTGTGCGCCTTCATCAGTCGCCGCTCACATTCATTCTCATCAGTACTCGGTCCATTTGTCTTGTGCATCGAAATTGGGAGTCTGTCATTGTTGTGCGTGTGTTTTTTGAAAATGGATATGAGAAAGTTTTCAAAGGCAAATAATTACAATTTAACAAAAATGTTTCTAAAAACAGAGTGAGGGTTAACATGAGTCCCCGCGGGGCTAGCCATACCAAAGAACTGCGACGACGAATAGTGCGGTGTATTGAGGATCTGGATCCCCATGAAATTGAAAAAGCAACCACCGGTCGCGTTCGAAAGAACATTTCGAAATGTTTTAAATTTAATGGACAACATTTATAGCATTTATTGTGAAACTGTGATATTTTGTTTACAATTTTGTTATTTTTAATAATCATAATTCTGTTATTTTCTGTACTTTAACATGATTCAGCCCAGAAAATCTAACTTTTCACCTAAGAATGCCTGATTTTTGGTACAGTTGTTTCCTGGAAACTTTGAGGAAATTATTTCTTATTCATACTACAGTATTTCAATATTAATATTAGTCACAAAAAGGATTTGAAGCTTTATTACTCCTATTTAATTATATG